TGTACCTGAAAAATGTCCCCACTACGTGGGTGAATAACATAAAGCTACTCGTAGAAAATGAGCATACTTCGACCTAACATTTTACAATTTTGTCACCTTAAGGTGAAACATGTTAAAGAGGCTCATGCCACCTAACATCTATGTCAAAGTGAGACTCAGGGAGTATCATAAACTACCCTAGATCATATATAGCATAAATCATGTCATTCATGTAATTTCAATAACATAGAAGCATGTTATACAAGGCAACAAACATAGATTTTCAAAATTATCAACTTGAAATCTAAAAGGCGAAAACAACTAAAGTAGATCATGCCACCTAACGTCTATGTTCCAAATGAATCTATAGGATCATTCCTAAGCTACATTTGAACATATAGCATAGATGTACTTGATAACATCAAAGTTCGCAATGATTCATCAAAATCATAAAACATAAATATATTTAACAACATTAAAAAACATGCGATGATTCCTTACAAATCATAATGCATATATGTACTTAACAACATTAAATCCTGCGATGATTAATTAAAATCACAAAACATGGATGTACTTAACAACATCAAAATTTACAATTATTTATTAAAATCATAAGACATAGATGTATTTAACAATATCAAAACCTGCAATGATTCATTAGAAATCATAATGCCTGAATGTACTTAACAACATTAAATCGCCAATAACCAAAACCACAAGTCACAATTAAACATGATTGTCAACTTGGAATTAAATGCGAAAACAAATAATGGGAGACTTGGATATCAAATCCTGGATAAAGCCAAGACCTATGGTTATTCCGGGCATTCACCCGCTGGGAATAGTACCCTAAGTGCGCACTATAAATGGGGAGAACTCATATCTCCCGCACTAGAGCCAAACTCTTGCCATGTCTCTGTAACGATGTCTCAAATAACTCCAAAATAGATAAGTCAATAACTTATATACGAAGTATATATAAAGCACGAAAACCACCTTCCATGCACAAATAGGTTGAAACCACACAGCTCATGCTCTAAATCCACAACTAATATAGGATGATAAATGTCGAATCTTCAGAGCGCAATTCGTTACGTGCTATAAAAACGTCACATGTCGAATCTTAAGTGTGCGATTCGTTACACGCTATAACAATATAATTCAATACTGAAAGTATAACTTATAAATCCATTACAAGTCTAAAATCATGCTTCAAACATACTACCAATATTAAACACATGATTAAATCTTTAACGTAATAGAAACGGAAATTAATTACATAACCTAATTAATTTCTTTAAGTTTCAAGTATCGATTTAATGATACCTAATTAACACATGTTATACAGCATAGCATAGTCATTACATATACCACATGAAAAACTTAATTAGGTTATTAAAACAATATGATGGAATTTAATTAAATCATGATAATTAAATTCCTAGATTCTAAAACAACAACAAATAGTCCCATTAAATATATTTTAATTAATTCTTTTAATTAAAAACTCTAGAATTTCATACTCATCCAAATGCTCTCAAATTAAAGTATGTTAAACAACATGCCATAACTTAATTTAAAAACATATTATAAGTTAATTTCATGCAAGGTACGACCATGAGAATTAAACTTTTACCTAAGATAATTATTAAATAAAAATTTCAATTCTTATTCAAATAATTCCAATTTAATATATGTTAATAAACATATCAAGTCCAAACTTTCTCGCATGCCACAATTTAATTCTAAGTTATACATCATCATGAGAATTAAATCCTAACCATAGAAATTAATTAAATTAAATTCTAGGACTTAAACCAAAGTAGGCATATAAGTTGTATAATCATGAGAAACACTCTATATAACACATACAAAATTCTAAAACATCCCCTACCTCAATTTGAGATGAAATCTCAAATCCACACCGAAATAAAATGGCTCCAAATCCGACGAAACTTTTAGGTTTTGTCGGGGACAACACGGTGAACAAGAATCCCAAGGAAGCCCTATCTAAATCATAACTTGACCTCAAACCTGAACTCAAGAAATGGTCAAAAATGGATTCTAATAAGGGGGAAAGGTAGAGCACGTCAAGGCAAACACAAAACGCTAAGGCACTACACCTTTTTACTAAAAGGAAAGTGGCTGGAAAATGAAGAAGAAGGGTGGCAGCCCCTTGGTTGCCATGGCTGCCGGCCAAGAGAGAGGAGAGAGAGAGAAAAATCTGATTTTTCCTCTTAAGACCTCCTATTTATAGAAAAACCCTAAAAGTGTCTCGAACGGGTCCGGAAAAGTGAAATTTGAGTAAACGCACTCAAACGACAAAACTCCGTAAACGAAAAAGAATCAAAATGAGAAAATATGAATAAAGGAAGAAACGGTATCGAAAACTGAGTCGTGAATAGAGGGATATGCCCAAACAAGTTTGGCAGCAACCAAGGTCAAAAACCCTGAAACTGGAGAAAAACCACCCGAATGAAATTCTAAGAGTACACGACTCGACGAAAAGTGAAAATGAATCCCGTACGAGAATCAAGGCTCAAAACGAGACATTTAACAATAACTTTCATTAATTGCACAATGACTCCTCCAAAAAGTGAAAACTGTACTAATGACCCAGAATGAAAATATCTTTTAAAAAATATTTTCTTAGAAACCCCTGAAATAAAATATCTTCAAAAGATATTTACGAAAAATACCCCAAGAAAAGGAAATGTTTCTGAAGAACTATGCATCCATACCTCTATGGACACCGGGAGCAACCAGAGTACTTTACTGCAAAAGTAAAAATACGTATTTCGTGGAAATCACTTAGAATAAAGATATGCGAAGTCAAAAACCAACTCCGAACACAAAAAGTGAGGTTATGCCAACAAACGGAGAAAAGACAAAATAGGGAAATGGACGAAAAGTGAATAGTGTCTGAAAAATGAAAATGTTGAAATGATGCGGTTCTCAAAGGAAGTTGTCAATTCAAAGAAAAGAGTCTCGAAAATCATTTCAGAGTACTCAAGACGATACTAAGTGACAATAAATCGAACTCAGAAAGGAAAAGAACAATGAAAAAAAAAAAAAAAAAAAAACATCCGTGAAAATCTGAGGAAAAGGAAAGGAAGGAAAATGACCGAGTCATTATAGAAACTTACCTGTTTTTTGGACAAAGACACCCCCTAAAGGTTCAAAAATGGGCAAAGACACCCCTTTACATGAAAAATTGACTAAATTACCCTTTGACAGTTTAGGAGACTTTTTTTAACTTTACAATTTAATAAATTTGACCAATCTACCCTCATGAACAATTTATGCATTAAAAAAATAATTAAAAAAAAAAAACCTTTATATTGTTCACTTTCTTTTTTCTTTTTCTTTTTTTAATAAATATCCCAACTTCTAAAAAATACAGACGTCTAAAACGATTTTTTGATCCAATACATATATTTCAAATAAATTATATTTTGTTATTACTTCTTTTCTTTTTCTTTTTTATTTTTAAATTAAGATACTTAATTCTTTCATCTAAAAAAAATTAAAGCAATCTCTTGTCCTTAAAAAAAAAAAAAAAATATGGTAACAGTATAACTTTATGCATCTTAAATTATATATCAAATATTATGCATTTTCCAACATAAAGAAAAATAAGTACCGGTATAACTTTATGCATGCCTTTGTTTTTTTTTTCCTCCCTTTGTTTTATTATTATTTTTTTCCCCTTTTATGTTGGGAAATGCATAATATTTTATATACTTCGTATAATTTAAGATGCATAAAGTTATACTGGTACCATATTTTTTATTTTTAAGGAAAAGAGATTGGTTTAATTTTTTTAGATGAAAGAATTAAGCATCTTAATTTAAAAATAAAAAAGAATAAGAAAAGAAGTAATAATAAAATATAATTTATTTGAAATATATGTATTGAATAAAAAAATCATTTTAGACGTTTACATTTTTAAGAAGTTAGGATATTTATAAAGTAAATAACCCCAAATTTTTTTTATTTTTTTTATTTATTCTTTTTATACATAAATTGTTCATGAGGGCAGATTGGTCCAATTTATTAAATTGTAAAGTTAAAAAGTCTCCTAAACGGTCAAAGGATAATTTGGTCAATTTATCATATAAAGGGGTGTCTTTGTCCAAAAAAAAAGTAAATTTCCTCTGAGTGTCCTTTTATCAAACTTCAGTGGGTGTGCTTGTATTTTACCCTTATATATTTAGGCCATCTGCAGCGCTATAGCCAAAGCCCAATTTTCGCAAGCGTGAAGGGCCTTTGGGCGTGCAATAGTATGGCTAAATTGGTGGGGCCCAATTTTGCTCGCGGGCCGGCTCGCGGTATTCAACGAGCCGCCCACGATCTTGAATTTTTTTTTTTTTTTTGTTTTTTCTACGCCAAAACGGCGCCGTTTGGAACAAAGCTTTTTTGTTTTTTTCTCCTGCTACTGTACAGTGCGCCAACAGTGCCTTAAGGCACTGTTTGGCAGGATTTTTTTTTAATTAAAAAACCTTTTTTTTTTTTTTGTTTTAGTTTTTTCCCTTAATTTTTTTTTTTTAATTTTTTTGCTTTAAATTTTAAATGTGTAGGCCAAATAGTGTATTTGGCCGTTAAGACACTGTTTCTATAGTACCAAACAGTGCCTTAACGGCTATAATTTAAAAAAAAAAAAAATTAAAATTAAAATTTTCCTTTTTTTTTCTTTATTATTATTATTTTTTTGTTTTTTTTGTTTTTTTCCCTTAAAATTTGGTTTTATTTTAAAAAAATTTTGCTTTAAATTTTAAATGTGTAGGCCAAATAGTGTATTTGGCCGTTAAGGCACTGTTTCTACACTACCAAACAGTGCCTTAACGTCTATATTTTTAAAAAAAGTTTTAACATTCAAAATTTTTAACTTTATTCAAAATAAAAATAAAAATAAAATACTTATTTTCTTATTCCAATCTTAAAAAACCATTACATAAAAAAAATACTAATACACGAAATGTCATAACATCTTAATATAAAACAAAATGCAACATAAATTAAACATCTTCATCAGCATAGCGGTTCCACAAATTTTCCATCAAATCATTCCTCAACCGCGTATTTGTCTCTCTATTACGAATCTGAAGTTGGCGAGAGGATATGTGTGTCGCTAAAACATATGGGCATTGACTTAAAATGGGAATCGGGATTGTATCCTCCGGTAGCGGAGTCCATCTTCCAATATTTGCGTGACGCTTATCTTTAATGATCATATTATGAAGGATGATGCACGTTTTCATTATGAGGCGCAAGTCATCTTTCTCCCAGTAACGCACTGGTCTTTGCGTTATTACCCACTTGATTTGCAATACTCCAAAAGCCCGTTCCACATCTTTCTTTGCTGCTTCTTGTCACTGAGCAAATAATTTTTCTTTTGTAGTGGTTGGATGCGGGATGGTCTGCATCAAAGTTGGCCACTTAGGATATATACCATCAGACAGGTAATACTCCATTCTATAGTGATGTCCATTCACTACATAATTAACCGGAGGTAATTGGCCATTGACGATACCATTGAATATCGAGGAATGATCCAACACATTTATATCATTGTGTGAACCTGGCATTCCGAAGAATGCATGCCAGATCCACAAATCTTGTGAGGCAACTGCTTCCAATATGAGAGTTTTCTTGCCAGATCGTCCCCTATGTGTGCCTTGCCACTCCACTGGGCAATTCTTCTACTCCCAGTACATACCGTCGATAGAACCAAGCATACCCGGAAATCCTCTCTGCTCCCCTTCTTCAAGCAGCAGTGCTATGTCAGCTTTGTTGGGTGGACGCATATACTCCTTTGCATACACAACAACAATAGCATTACAAAATGCCTTAAAGCATTTAATGGCAGTGCTTTCACCGATTTTAATATACTTATCATAGTGATTGGCTGCACAACCATATGCGAGTATACGAATAACAGTTGTCATATTCTGTATAGAAGACAACCCCAAACGACCAGTCGCATCTTTTTTTTGGACAAAGTAGTCATCATAAGTTTTGACATTATTAAGGATATGAAGAAAAAGTTCTCATCACATCCTAAATCGCCTGTGAAAGTACTCCGGTGGATATGTGCAATTATCGTTGAAGTAGTCTTTCATTAGCTGATAGTGGCTTCCCTTTCGGTCACGATAAATGTACCGCTTCCTTTTACGGACTGGAAATACTTGCTCAACTATCTCTGGCCTCACTGAATTCATAATCTCATAGAATTCGTCTTAATCTTGTTAAATCAACGCCCCAAAAGGATCATCTTCTGAAGAGGACGACGAGGAAGATGAAGAATTAGAGTAAACTAAAGGAAAAACTTGTGATGACGAAGCCATTTGAATTTCGAAATTGCAAAAAGATAGATGATGATATTTTGCTACAATGGTGAGAGATGAATATAGTGATGATTTTCAGATGAGCAAATGAGTTTCAATTTATAAGATGAAAAATATAACCGTTGCAAATATAGCCGTTAAAAATATAACCGTTACAAATATAGTCGTTTAGGAAAAGTTAATTTTTTTTTTAATTTATTATTATTATTATTATTATTTTTTGGCAGTGAAAATTCGGAGAGCCTGATGGAGTACATGTTTTTGGAAAGCGAAAACTGCTGACGTGGCTTTTGGAATTGCTGATGTGGCTATTGGAAAAGCTGATGTGGCGTTTTTAGATAGTTAAAATCCGGAGAGACCGGTGCAAATGGCCTTAGTTAAGTTTGTAGTTAAATAAAGTTAAGGGTATTGTAATAAAACTATATTTTTAATACATTTTGAGAGAGGTGAGAATAATTTTGGTTGAAGTTTAATATGAGAGTAATAAATTCAAACCTTATAAATAAACTACATTGATTAAAAATTATTCATTAGACAATTAGTATTAGTCGAAATAAAAACAATATAAAGTATTAAGAGAAAAACAACATATATATATATATATATATATATAATATTAGATTTAGAGAGAGGAGAGAGAAAGGGGGAAAGATGAGAGGTGTGGGAGGTCCGCTGCTGTGCATTGGCGATCTGCTGAGCGATGTGGGAGAAAGAGACGGTGGAGACCAACCCAACGTCGAAACCTCATTTTCACCATCTTCTTCTTCGGCACCCATCAATTCGAATCTCAATCTTCAACCCTCTGATCTCACCAAACTCTTCCAGGTTAAATATTTCACTGCACTTTCCTATTAATCTCCGCTTCAATATGTTCATTATCATTTTCAATCCTTTTGTTAATAATCATTTATGGTCTTTAAGTTTCTTCGTATTTTTTTTACCCCAATTGAAAAGTGTATAAATACCCCCTTTTCAGAACATTCTTAATTTTTGAATATCTAAAATCCAATTATTAACCTGAATAAGCATAGAGTTGTTTGTAAATTCATGGACTAAACATATATATATATACACACACACACACAGACACGCATTGATGTATGTAGCTATATATGAATGTATACAAGTGTGTGTGTTTCGGTAAGCTTTAAAGAGTGTATGTTACCTCAAAAAGCAAAGGGCATTCTCAAAAACAATTGAGCTACTAAATTCAAAATCTACTGTAATCCAAAATTTTAGCAGTTCTTTCTTTACTGGCGAAAGCAAATTTTTTTTTTCCTAAATGGTGAAAGCAAATTTTGATTCTGGGGAAACAAGGCCTTGATTGGTTTTGTTTTCTGTTTTCCTGTTCTTAGAGAATTGGAAAACATAAAACAGTTCAAAAGTTCGTTCATTTGATAATTGTCTGAAAATTGTTTCTGAAAACCTAGTTAAATAAGGGCAAGAATGATCTTTTAATTCTCTGGAAACTGTTCTGAGAACCGAATCAAATGAGCCCTAAATTTCCCCAAATTCGGTGAAATTGGAATAATCCAGGAATCTTTTGAAAAGTATATCCAGGAAATACAGAGATACAAGGAAATTCAGAAAAAAAATTTAGGACATATGGTTGACATGGTTCACTCACAAAGGGCCTACATTCATTAACAACTGCAACTCTTTTATATTTTAGTTTAAGCAACTGCAAAGAAATATGATATGATATGATATGATAGTCCACATTGATACTAGGGGAAGAGGAAGACCAACGTTAACGGTAGAGTTAGTAAAGAAAGGTATGATATCATGTGGATTGACTGAGGTTATGCAATTATATAGAGTGGAATGGAAAAATAGGATTCATGTTGCGGATCCCAAGTAATTTGGAAAAGGATTGGTTTTTGACGTTGCTGCTGCTTAACAAACTGCAACTAGTAGTTTAAATTTTACGATTCAAGGGAGTTACAAAATATGTTAAAACATGCATATACATAATCCTTTTGTATAGTTTTTACCCTCATCAGATCATCACACTCAAACAATGAATGTCAATGAGGCTTCAATGGTAAGGATGGGTATATAGATTATGCTTGATCCCTTTTGTGAGTATTAGCTAATATCATTTGCACTAGGCCCAAGTTTATAAATTTTGATTTACATATCATTTGCACTAAGCCCAAATTTATAAAACTTGATTTACACTTTAGGTGTATATGATAATGAAATCACTTTAGTACTTGTCAATAATTAATTGTTACTTGTTGATAATTAATCAGTACCTCTAGAATTACTGGATCTCAAATTTCACTCCAAAGAGATCCATTTTCTTGATGAATTAATGAGATTGTAACTACTCATATTTCAGTTCGTTAAACATTTTTTTTAAAAATAATTGTTCCTCTAATAATGTTAGAATTGATACTTTCTGCATAGAAATTGAAGGATTTTGACGTTTTACTAGAATGAAAATTTCTTCCCTTCTCCTTTTCAGTTCTTCCTAGTATTTTTGCATGTGTAAGTAACGGTATAGCTTGTAATCTAAATATTTTCTTGTAATTTCAATTTTGTAATAATAGTAATTATTATTTTTTCTAATCACTCTGAGCATGTTACAATTGCATCTTTCTTTAGGAAAACTATGACCAGTTGAATGAAGCGCTTGCTGGTACGGACCACTCATGGACAGCTCTAATGCTGAAGGTAAGGGTTATCTGTTTGAAAGATACCAATGTTATTGTGGACATTCTGCCTATTAATAATTCATTTGTAGGACATGCTCTGAAACAATATATGTCGACTCTGGTGGTTATTTGTAAATGTGTCCACCTTTTGGTTTTATAAAATTTTAGAAGTGATGGGAAAGCAAATGTCCATAGATTCTTTTCTATTATAATCATCAGACACATCTAAGCTCATTCTAATGATAATAATAACATTCCTGAAACTTGTAAAACTTTGTCTACCAATAGGAACATATTTCAGTTATTTTAACAGTTTTCATTTTCCACTGCCCCGTTTTCTGAAAACCCAGCTTTGTAAAGCTCTCGAAACTGCAAAGAAGTTGGTCCAGTCTACCAACTCTCATGTTGGCATGCTGTCGGAGAAGGTTGGGGAGCTGGAGAGAATTATCAAGAGGGCAGATTCTGCCGTTGCGGCAGCCAAAGGCATCCACAACTCTCTAAACCGAGAAGGACCTCTTATCACTCAAAATATTCAACAGTCCAGGCCTGATCAATGACAAGGTTTGGAAAAACGAATATTGACATATTTTATTCTAAACAGGTGGTGCAAAATATTGACCGGTGAGTGTCTTGTTGAATAAAAGCTCGAAAATGATTTGGAGAAAGAGAAATAAGGAGCATTAAAGGTTCATTATCTTGCCCCCCTTGGTCTTAGAATAACTTCATTTTCCTTGTTGGAGTTTGCAGTAGTTTAGACATAGGAAATGTGCTAGTACTGGATTCAGGATGGAGTTTTCCACTATAGCATTTGTGTGAGTTCAGAATGTATGCATATCTTGAAACTGAGTTTGGTGTTAATATATTCTTGATTTGTGCAAATGAAACTGAGTTTGGAAGAGCAGGTTATCTCTTTACATTTGAAGCACCGATTGAGGATTTTCTTGAACATTTTGAATAAATAGTATAGTGGTGATAGAGAATCCGAAAGACGGACAAATCTGACTATATTTATGTGAGTGGGGATGATGTCATCATGTATTTATAAATCCACCTTTCGGACTAGTAATCATTTTTCGAAAAGGCATTGCAACTTTTTGCCTTGTTTTCTCTCTCCTCCATCTTTGTCTCCTCTGGCTCATCTTCACCACCATTATAGTTCAACTCTTCATTCTCACTTCAGAATCTCAGTCCAAGTCCTCAAAGGCTCAATCAGACCACCAATCATCCTACCCTTCTTGACCCTAACATATGCTTCAAGTGAGTAGATTCCAATATCTATTCATGCATGCATATACACAAACAATAATGCATAGAGTTTCTTCCTTCTTTATTTGATTTACAAGTGTACAAATTTTTGGGATATGATTTTAAAGATGCGACTCTAAAAAGGGTGACGCTATTGATCCACACGTATATTTTAGATTAGGGTTTGATATTGCTCGATCAATTGGAACATAAAAAAATATATTTTTTCAACCTCTACCAAAAGTTTTGCTAATTCACTGAACTATCGAGACGTCTATTCTTTGGTACAGGAGAGTTATTGATTACTCAAATATTTTATTTTATTTTATTTATTTATTTATTTTTCAATAAAGGTATTCTTGTCTTACAATCACCACCAATCACCAAATAAAACAGTTAATTGCTTTCTTTTCTTTCCCTATCTCACTATAACATCGAGAAGACTTCCAATTACCTCTTCCTTTCTTTTCCTTCCTTGCTTATCCAAACACCCCCACAAGGTTAATACTATTCTCTTTTTAGTTTCTCACAATACAAGACATTCATATTTGGTTCTCAGGTCATTATCATTTGTCCTTTTCCATGAAGATTATGTTAAATCTTAATAAAGATAGGGGGGCAAAAGAAAAAGTGGTTCACGCTCCCACATATAAAGTCTAACGTCACATAGACGCATACTACAGTAGTTAACAATAATATGCCATTATGATGTCAACAATTGTAGTCAATTGCAGTACTTCAATAATAACCCATTATTTTGGTGAAAGCCAACAATCGTAGACAATTACTTCAATAAAGTTGAAAACTACCTGCAATATATTAGAAGTGCACTTAATTCTTAGTTGCAAGTTTTTAATGTCCAAGATTGGGTTTTGTCATGATTCTCAGGTGGTCTAATTGTGCTGGCTCATGACTTGAGACATTGTACATGTTTGGGAGGCTTTTCAGTTTCAAGTGAACGTGTTTTTCATCTCACGCAATGATGGGAAATATTTAACACTTTCCGTACGTGTGGCTTACCGATTGAAATAGTATAGTGAATATATTATATTATATAATTTTTATTTATTATTTACTATTTATTATTTATTTTTATTTTTATTTTTGGCCTGGCAACAGAAGCCCTACGGTATTTACAATAAGCAAGACCACAAACACAACCAAAAGAAACCACTGATTAACCACAGCACCACAACAAAAGCAACAAAATCCACAAATTTACAGAGAGGACCAAACACACAAAAGACACTGGACAAAGCAAACCACCATAGGAGTAAACCATGGGACCCAGTGTAATAATTCCCATACTGCAACAACAGCCACACAAAGAAGGAAGTAAATTCCAGAAGCAAGTCCCATACGGCAACGCCACAGACACGTAACCATAGATCAAACCATATGATGGACAAGCACGTGGCATTAGAAAGATTGAAATTTTGTGGACCCAGCCTTGTGTCGTCCTCACATAGGTCAAGGGTTGCACAACCACCAATCAAACCAGCCGCTGGCGAACTACCAATAGGAAGAGCCACGTTTGGAACAGCAAAACACCACAGAGAATGAAAAACAGCATAAAACCTATGCACCAAAGGATGCCCAGCTACACAATATGTTCTGGCAACAACGATCCACGACCCAGAGTTAATGGCGGCTGGAGGAGAGGCAGCACGAAGCAAAGCAAGAGAAAGGAGCAGCTAACCTGCTTTATAAACACGTCCAATGCACAACAACCTAAAACGTGAAAGAAACTCTGGCACGCAGGACCAAGAAAACAATGCACCACAAGAACCGAAAAAACGCGACCCAAAAAGTGAACCCGCCGACAGATAAGCAGTAGCACGAGCCACCTCGACCCCAAAACCCTTGGGCATTGACGAAATCTGACATTGACAAACAAAAGTAGAACAAACAGAGAAGCCAGAAAAAACAACCAAATACCTGGATCAAAAGGGAAAGACAAGGGAGAGCGGCCAAGACCCTAGTCATCTTTCAAAACACACAAACAAGAAACCCGTAGAAGCCAAAAGACTCGCGGAGCCAACTAGCCACCTAAAAGATGTCCGGACCTGAGTATGGAGGCCATCCCATAGAAACACCACTTTGGAGAGACGAGAACACGAGGAAGGAACCAACACCAAAGAAACCCAAACAGCACAACCCTGACTAGTAGAGAGACGCCGACGGGGAGGAGAAACAACCCTGGTTCACCTAGAGAACTAAAAGAGGAAAGATGAAGAAAAAAACCTAGAAACACTGGGAAGAGGAAAGATGATGAAATAAAACTCGAACGAGGTCGAGAACCTCTACACAGAGGGGAACCTCTACATTATATTATTTAATTTTAGGGTAGTGATTTTGGCGCTCCAAATAAATACTTTGGTGATCCATCCTCATTTCAACTATAACAAAATGACAGTAAAATATTTTCATAAGACATGTAATTAAAGTGGTCTCTCTCATTCCTTCATTGCCAACAACTGCAGCACATCTTCTTGAATCCTTCACCGATTTCTATCTTATCCCTACAATCTTGTCACCCCTTCCCCCTTTCAAAGCTTCAATTTACAGGAGTCTGAAAATATTAAGGTCTATTAAATTTGATTCTTCTCTCCTCTGTCCATTCTCCTATATCTATTTCATTTATAATCAATTCCATCACGATGTTACTAAATGTCATTCACATCAAGCTTCGAATTACAAATCGCGTGAAATTCGCAGGGCAAGTTATGTTCCTTTAATAAGGTAATTGTGATGACAGGTGATTGTAGAGTGCAAATATCACTTCCTTAATTTTAAGTTATTCCATAAGCTATCTCTAAACTCTCTAGGACATGCATTTCACAATTCACACAAAATTTTCACTAATCATACCCGAATGTTAAATTGTAATTGATTGATGTGAACGCAGGCTGCATGGTAGTCGTACTTAACTATTTGTGTGTTAACACTATATTTACAGGGGATGACTTGCTTATTCTTGGTTATGAGCGAATGGCGTGTTTTTTAAATGAATTAAAGAAGAAAATGTTTGACTATAAAATTTTAATTTTCATAAATATTGGAAAATGTTTCATTATAAAATTTTAATTTTCATAAATGATTTCATATTTTATTTTAGTTATGAGTTTGAAATATGGGACGAAATTAAAATTGAGAGATAGGGTGGCACCATTTCCAAACTGAAATCAGGAGAGATTTGACACTGGTGCCGGTTGTTAACATAATCTAGCGAACAGAGTTATGCTATTCAATATTTAAAAAATTGAATTTTGAGCGTCTTATAAATTTTTTTTATTGATTGTCAATCAACCATCCGGTGTTTATTATTATTACACTAAATGGATGGTGAGAATCAATTAACATACGGTGGATGGAATATGGACTCTAAAACTTCAAACAGCTTTTTATTTTTTATTTTTTATTTTTTATTTTTAAATAAATAAATAAAAGTTCTTTTACACATTACTTTTAAAATAACTAATTAAATAAATAAAAATAAATAAGAATAGGGAAATGGGAAATGGAAAATGCTAATCCTTGGGTGTAGTATGGACTTAAGAATTAGAAATTTAACTAATAAAAAAAAAAAAAAAAAAAGAAATTTGACCCCCATTTTTTTTATTTTTTTAACACATGCCAAATTTGCTAATCAACAAACAATAAGTTTTTTTTAGTTAAATAACAAACAATAAGTTATCCCTTACTAAATTCACAATTTCATTTCGTTTAAATCATGTTGTATTAAGTAAGTGAAAAAACAAAAAACTTAAGCTTAACCTCCATTTACTACTGCTTGTCGTTCATAACCCCTCAAGTATATATATATATATATGGGCATAAAACACCATATATATATATATATCTATATAAATTTTGCACCATACCTCTTGCCATTACATTATCTGTCAATTAAAAATAAAACTAAAACTAAAATGACGATATTACCCATATGTACAGAACAAGAAGTATCTAAGGAATGTCAATAATATATCAATGATGAGGATATACCAAATTGCATGTGTCGTTATCATTGTTTTTTATTTTTTAATTTTAATTGTCAAAAGTTCAAGTCATTACAGTGTTATTTTTCAAAACCTAAATATTTCGGAAATTTAGTATTGTATAATGGATATATTGAAGAAATATAAATAATATTAAGGGTGATAAATTACGACACAACAACATAATACGAACACGACACGAGTTAAAAAAAACTTAGGTTTGGTATAAACGGGTTTGGGTCATAAAATGGTCAACACGATTAATCCGTTTGCTTAACCGTGTTGGGTTAGGATTGAGGGGTTCAACTCGTGTAACCTGTTTATGACTCATTTAACTCAACATGTTAAATCCTAAATGTGACCTATTTAATACGTTACCTGTTTAAACCCAATTACTATGGATAGTTAAGTCATTTTAATATAAACCTTGTCTATGCCTTATGATTTTTCTTTTTATTTTGAATATTTGGGTTAATTATGATAATTTTTTTTTTCTATTATTTAATATTTGATTAAATATTAAACGTCTCATTTTGATAAACAGGTCATTAAACGGGTTAACACGTTTACCTGTTTAATAAACGGGTTAACCCGTTTACCTGGGTTAATGTTGAGGATTCTTAATATGATTATCAAAT